ATGAATGACGTCATAGCCGACCGAATTTTCTGTGACCGTCCTTTCCCAGACAACATCCAAGAAAAATAAATTATTAAATTATATATATTAGTTTCAATACCGGCAATATTCTTCTGAGGAGATGGCCGCTTTTGAAATTAGACGACTCAATTGTACGTATGAATCTTTAGGCCTTAAGGCTTTCAGTTAATGTTTATAGAGAACACAAGATACAAATAATTCTAAGAGGGCCAAGAAGTGCGTGAAGATTTGCCTCGTTCAGGTCGTCCATCGCCGGCTTTAATGGGTAAAAACAGAGTGAAATATCATGATATTTCATTACGATGCATCATACACGTTTCAAAGGGCCTTAACGATTCAAACGCACCATTATTATGCAATTGCCTTATGCAACGATTCAGCACAAGAAATTTTGAGTATGAGTATGAGTGAGTATAAGAACGTATGGCAGGCCCCATCAGCTACGCCTTACACTGATCTTCCAGGGTTATTCTACCCCCTTTCGGTTCTATACGTATCTCGCCACTGCACAGCGTTACCTGTGTTTGGTGGATCCGAATTTTCACCCCGGCAGTTAATCTTCCCTAGGAGGTCGTAGATGACAGTGTCGATGGTAAAGGCCATTCCCGGAATTTTGTCGCCGGGCAGACCATACGCCCGATTTAGGCTAATGGAGTGAAGGACAAGGAGGGACCACAGTTGGTTTCTGGGGGCCTTTGAACTGACTCAAAACTAGGTACAATCCGGACTCCCCCTCAACCAGGGTATAAGTAATGACCCCATTCAATTGGGGTTCATGAATGATGGGTTATTAGTACGATACTTGGACATCCTTGCTGGTCTTGTATTTCATCCGATGGGTCTGTTTGGTCTGCTGGAATTTGGAATCTGCTGCACGCAGTTGTTTGTCCCACTGGGTTGTTGTTTATACTTCCCCCACACTCTTAGAAAAACCCAAAATGACTCGTTATAAGTTTTGACTCATTGTTCCAGCGGAAAGGTAGTCGATAACTGTAAGACACATTTTACCGAATGCAACAGTCATAATTGGGTTTGGTTTAAAGTTTTTTAGAATAGTTATTTTTACTCATCTAAGCAATCCATAATTATAATTATTTAATTTAACTATTAAATAAGCTGCTCGTCATAAAAATCGACGCACCTAGTTTTTTGGAAAATATTTAAAAGCTCGTTATTGAAAAATTACTGAATCGATTTTGAAAATCTTTGGAAATTCTGAATAGCTGTTTCTTTGACTCTTATGTCAAATTTTGGGAATACGATATTTTGCACATAGCATTATACTTCAGGGTGTTAAACGAAGAGATGTATTTTTTTCCGAAATTTCAAGTTATTCCCATTCATGAGGCAGTTGAGTTTGATAGTCGTAATACCCCTCCCTAATATTAGTATGGTAATCCCTCGAAACGTTTTCGAGATTTTGTGAATATCGCGGCTTACTACGATTATATGCCAATTTATCGAAAATTGTCGTTATTTCCCAGTTTAGTCCAAAAAATGAGCAATAGTGGATTCTTTGACTTACGTCTAATTTTGAGAATAAGATATTGTGCACATAGCATTATACTACAGGGTGTGAAAAAAAGGGATGTTTTTTTTCAAAATTACAAATCCCCATTCACAGGGCAGTTGAGCTTGATAGTCCTAATACCCCTTCCTAATAACAGTTAGGTAATCCCTCGGGACGTTTTCGAAATTTTGTGGATATCTTGGCTAACTACGATTATATGTCAATTTTTCGAAAATTCACGTTATTCTTCATTTTAGTCCAAAAAATGAGCAATAGTTGATTCTTTGACTCTTATGACTAATTTTGGAAATACGATATTGTGCACATAGCATGATACTACAGGGTGTTAAAAAAAGATTTGTTTTTTTCCAAAATTCCAAATCCCCATTCACAGGGCAGTTGAGCTTGATAGTCCTAATACCCCTTCCTAATAACAGTTAGGTAATCCATCGGGACGTTTTCGAGATTTTGTGGATTTCTTGGCTAACTACGATTATATAGCAATTTTTCGAAAATTGTCGTTATTCTCCACTTAAATCCCAAAAATGAGCAAACTACGAAAGGTATCGATTAGTTATCAACACATCGTTTCCCCAATTTGCATGTTCTTGTGCCCATCTTCTTCTAGCAGAAAAAGAGGGCAGGCAGCTCTTCGTCTTGCGTGGTATGCAATCTTACATCCGTCCTTTTATTTTTTTAAATGTGATTTGCTGTTTGAAAAATGTTTTCATATTCGACGACAAAAATGACAAGAATAATTGAAGGAAGGAAGCTCCAAACTAGATATGCGCCATATTTTTTTAAACCTGCATAAGTTTACGAGAATAATTTTGTTTGGTTTGCATTTTTATTTTGAATTTAACCGAAAAAAATTGGTTTTGTGTGAAACATTTCACTTTTAATAAATCACGCAACGTACATAAACCCACCTTAAAACGCTTTGTTGATACCTTCAGTAGTTTGCTCATTTTTGGGACTTAAGTGAAGAACAACGTGAATTTTCGAAAAACTGCCATATAATCGTAGTTATCCAAGATATCCACAAAATCTCGAAAATGTCCCGAGGGATTACTTGTTATTAGGAAGGGGTATTATGAATATCAGGCTTAACTGCCATGTGAATGGTGATTTGGAATTTTGGAAAAAACTTCTCTTTTTTTAACACCCTGTAGTATAATGCTATGTGCACAATATTGTATTCCCCAAATTAGAGATAAGAGTAAAAAAATCAACACATACACATATCAGAGTGCGTAATGAAGATAACGTGAATTTTAGAAAAATTGCCGTACAATCGTGGTTAGCCAAGATATCCATAAAATCTCGCAAATGTCCTGAGGGATTACCTAACTGTTATTAGGGAGGAGTATTAGGACTATCAAGCTCAACTGCCCTGTGAGTGGGGATTTTGAATTTTGGAAAAATACATCTCTTTTTTTAACACCCTGTAGTATAATGCTATGTGCACAATATTGTATTCTCAAAATTTGACATAAGAGTCAAAGAATCAGCTATTTAGAATTTCCAAAGATTTTCAAAATCGATTCAGTAATTTTCCAATAACGAGCTTTAAAATATTTTCCAAAAAACTAGGTGCGTCGATTTTTATGACGAGCAGTTTAGTAGAATAACAATTTATTGTAAACGACTATTCATTGTTTTCTTGTTGTGATAGAAATGTATTTACGTTTTCTTTTCTTATTTAACAATTAAAAAATTGCATTTATATTTACTTTTACTGCTTTTACCATTTATTTTTTTTAAACTCGAGAAGGTCTCGCAGGTCTCAGAGCGGAGAAACTATCACGTCTCGACCGTACACAGTGGTCCTCGACTAGCCATGGGTTTTATGAAAATGGCGCCAAAAAATAGGTTCAGATATTAGTAGGCATGTATATCAAGGTTACAAAAACGCTGCAAGTCAAATCATAGCTGATCATAAAAATTTGTTTTGTGATACTTTTATTTATGTTTACATTTGACCATTGTTTTAGATTAATTTCAATAATTGGCACATAATTGGAGGTCACAAAAGTTGACATATAGGTTCATTGATAAGTTGGCACTGAAATATTTGATTAACTTGTCAGTTGTCAGCCTAGGTTTGGTCTAGGGTTGTCAGTTACTGTTTGCCTTAAAACACAAATCTAATAATTTTTGTCGGTTTTATTGTTACTTTTATGATAAAATGAACCATATTGAAATTGTAAGCAACCATGAGCATAACAGCATGTGGGCAGAAAATTATTATGGGTAATACAAAATTGTCGAAATTTTTAATTACAGAATCCTAAGTTCCCAATTTCAATTTCCATCTGCAATACTTGTCGCCATGGTATCCCAAGCCAATTATTATGTAAAATTGTTCCCTGAATCCGAAAATACCGTCAAAAATTATGAAAGTTTAGCAGTTTTTGAGATATAGTCAATTCCATATTAAATGGAAAATTGACTATATCTCAAAAACTGTTCTACTTTTTTAACTTTTGAAGACATTTTCGGATTCAGGAGACAATTTTACATAATAATTGGTTGTTAAATTTTGGGATTTCATGGTTAACCATGGTTCAAGTGAAAAAGCCACTAATAACTAAATTAGTCATTTTTGACTAATTAATTTTTAGAGAGCTGGGCTTTCAAAGTCTCTTAAATTGCACGTCATTTTGGAATATATTACTCAATCTTTGCAGTTTCTTCAAGAAGTTGGACTTGGTGTATGGTCAGAGCAAGCAGGAGAATCTATTCATAGAGAGTTTGTCAAGTACTGGAACCGATATAAAATAAATCTCTTACAAGATCCTTGCTATCAAATCCAGTTAAAAAAAGGTGTTGTTGAGTTCTCCTCTAGACATTTGTAACAAATATTGAGTATATGTGAATTTGTTTTGGTCAATAACCTTTTTTCACTGTAAAAATAAAAATTACTTTTTTAAAATTGTAGGAATCTAAAGGCTATGTAAAAATGCGAAATTGTTACATCCATAAAATAAGTTAATGATCAGCTACGATTTTACTTGATGAATTTTTGCAATGCTTATAGATATACCTATCAAAATCCGAACTCATTTTTTGGCGCCATTTTCATACAACCCATGGCTAGTCGAGGACCACTGTGCGTAAGAGCGATGATGAGGTACTGAGATTTTGTTTGCAACGAGAATACAAAATCTTCGATCCCAAAATGTGCTCATTACAAAAATTGTAAACACACAGATTGCGCTCAAATTTTGCTTTGTAGTTTGACAGTGGTGGCAACTGCCTTTTATCCGGAAACTTTTTTAATATAATGTTATTAATTAATTAAGGTTTTTACCTAAAACAAATTAATAATGTATTTATAAAATTTAATATTTAGATGTTTAAAAATTGTATTAAACCTTTCTAATACAATATTCTGGATTAAAGGCTTTAGGAAGATTACCTACTTTTAGGAATTAAGTAAAAATTTACAATGTATACAATAGTTTATTCATTTTACCTTAACTAAAACATTGAATAGGGTAATATTTCATTGGTTTCAAAATAAAAATTACCAGTCTGATTAATTGATAAATCACCCAAAAAAATAGTTATATTTTGACAAATATTATTTTTAAAATGTTTCCAACTACTACATTTTTTGGCCATAAATGCTTTGGGATTTATAATTGCTTCTGCAAAATATTTCCATGCCCTAACGTGATCGCAAACAACTAAAAAGTAGAATTAATAATTTTATATGTACAGAGTCTTAATAATAAATTATACTTACTTTCTCCTAAACTCCCATAGAAATCGACATCAAAGGATCCTCTGAAATCCACACAACCTGGTTGATTGGAACCTCCGTTAGGAAAAAAATCTATGGTGCCAATAGAACCAGGAAACCCAAGAAGATCATCGTCAGTGTGTAAAACATGGACAACTTTTGCATCGTTTTTATTAAGTCGTTCATCTTCAGATAAACCAGTAAATATAGGACCTGCAGGATCTAGTGCTACAATTCTTGGTAGTTTTTGGTTTGTTAGTTTGGTAACACGTTTTCCAACAGCACCTGCGATCTGAGCACCCAAAGAATGGCCAATGAGAAGAAAGTTGTTCAGAGGAATTTTATTGGTTTTGTGTACAGTTACTATGAAATCACCAATATGATTCCCTGGTTAAAATAAGAGAAATAAATAATAAAAATTTACAAACTTTTTAATTATTATTATATTTACCAACTTTATAGACACCATATGCTGCTTCAGAATACACATTAAGAGCTACATTTTCCCAATCTACTTCTACCACATAGTAATCCTCAGTTTTGTTTAGAAAACCATTTTTAAATAACTCATACCACTCTATGTCTCTATTATTCATCCAACCGTGAATTAAAAAAACAATTTTGATTTGATCATTTAAATTTAAATTTTTTAGGTCTATTTCTGTAGATTTGTTGGGATAAACTTTATTGGATAAATAATAACTTATATCGTCTGACTCTATACTTGTCTCTGACTCTTCTAAAAATATTTCCAAAAAATTTATTTTCTTTACCTTTAAATTCCCCATTTACACCTACAAATATATTATTTAAAACCAAAATTTACTGTTTTTATTTACTCACTCAATATAGCGTAAAACAAAATTATAATTAATTTTAGCATTTTGAATAAATCGATTTGAAACTAAATTACAACCATGATTGTTTTATTATTTATACATATGTTTTAACAAAGGTAATTGCATAAAAATATTGTCTGCTACCAAAATTGTGTTATTTCTATTTTAAATAGAACAAGGTGAATTTTAACACGTTAAACTGACCTAAATTTTGTTGTGACGAATATATTTTTAACGTGTAGCAAATTTTTATTAATTAAACGATGGCTTATTATATTTTTCCAATTAAGTAGCCTTTGTCTATAAAAAATATGCAGAATATACAATTTAAGAATTTAATTGGTGACATATTTTTTTAATATTTAAATAATCTATCTAATATAACAATGTTGTAGGTTAAAAAAACCAAACATTTGAGTTTATGTCTTTACAGGATTATACGTGACCCACGTTTCACATACGACTTAAAAATAACTCTACATATACAGGGTGGGCCAATGGAAAGTCTCCACCCCGGTTTTCTCAGGTGTTACGAAAAAAAACAAAAACGCTCGCACCCGTCGATTTCTGATTTGAGGGGGATAATTTATTTTTATAATTTCAACCCCTCAACTTCAACCCCTAAGCCTGGGTGATAGTTACCCCCAAAATTTGAATTTTATTATTTATTATGCATGCATCTATAATAGGTAGTATGTTTTGTAAGCTGAGTATGCAGAATAACTGTTACTCATGAAATAGTCTTATCAAATACCATTCGGGCATTTAATTTTTCCTGTAAAAAAATCCAAAAAACACAATGCCAAGTAATATTTTTTAACAAAATGTATTAGTGCAGGTGCAAAAATCCTCGTCTTCGACTCGGATTTTTGTTTCCACCAGCACTCATGCTTCTTGTTAAAATATTACTTAGCAACGTGTTTTTTCGATTTTTTTCGGAAAAATTCGATGCCCTTATGATATTACTCACGACTATTTCTCTCGTCTTAATTTCCACCAATCACAAACGCGCAATTTTGAATTACAAATGGTTTCTAGGTGAAAAAACTGTGTGACAGCACCTGTCAGCAGTTTTTTCGAGTTTACCCGCGGCAAAACTTGACAGCTGTTGTCACCAAAAATTGCAATTTATATTTTAATTGTTAACTGTTACTCATGAAATAGTCTTGTCAAATACCATTCGGGCATCTAATTTTTCCTGTGAAAAAAATCGAAAAAACACAAGTAATATTTTTTTACAAAAAGCATTCGTGCAGGTGCAAAAATCCTCCTCTTCGACTCGGATTTTTGTTGCCACCGGCACTCAAAATATCACTTAGCAACGTGTTTTTTCGATTCTTTTCGGAAAAATTAAATGCCCTTATGATATTACTTACGATTATAACTTCCAAGTCGCTGCTATCATCCCCATTGATATGACTTATGAGCTTATTAATATCTTGGAGATAGACTATTGTTTTAGTAGCCTGAGTAAAGTGATACTTTTGTGAAAACATCAGTTTTTTACGTTTGAAGAAAAAAGAGTGTTTTTTGTAAACTTTTTTTACTTTAGTATTGTCGCACGATCATCATCAAAATTATTATTGTTAGTTCGAGAGCTTGTGACAAAATTTAATTATGGTTTACACTATAGCTCAGCAAGTTGAATTATTTTATACTTATTTCAAAAACAATGACTGTGCAAGACATCAGGAAAAAATAGTCTCGCATACTTACGTTAGGAAACTAATGGAAAAGTTTAGGACAAAAATGATAATCCGATTCGTGTCGTAAGGAATTAAGGCATGCAAATTACAGTCCTAGGGCACATTCCAATGGATAACACATTAAGTACTAGGCAATTGTCCGAAGTTTCCGCCATATCACGAACAAGCGTAAGGAGAATTTTAAAGGTTTACAAATTTTACCCCTACAAGAAATGAATAAACGGTGTCCAAATTTCCTTTACAATGTCTGCTTTTCAGATGAATGTTCCTTTTTTACATGGATTGGTCAATCGACATAATTGTCGATGCTGGAGCGATTCAAACCCACATTTATTAAGAAAGTCTCATACTCAATATCCTGAAAAGTTGAATGTCTGAGCAGGTATTCTAGGCAATAACATAATTGGCAATTTGATTGGAGCGATGTATCTGACTTTGCTTGAAGAAAATATTGTTCCTAGAATAAGAAAGGTTTTTGCTGAAGATAACAACTTGTCACAAGATGAAATATTTTTTTAACAAGATGGAGCCCCACCGCATTATGCAGCACCCGTTCGGCAATTTCTAAACGACAATGTTAGAGACCACTGGATTCAGGTTCCCTGATCTTTCCTCTCTGGACTTCTTTCTAAATTTAAAGTCTAAAGTTTATAAAACACAGCCAGCTTCTTTTCAAGTTCTACAAGAACGAATAACTGAAGAGTGTCAAAGAGATGGAGAATCGATTTAATTATTGCATGAATGTTAATGGAGAACATTTTGAACAGTTTGTCAGATAAATAATATTAATAATAATAATATTAAAACTTTAAAACTTCAATAAGTATGTATTTTTATTAAGGAAGGCAAGTATCGCTTTTACTCCTAATAAAATAAAAGTCTATTTCCAAGATTTTGAAAAGCTGTCATATCAACAGGGATGATAATAGCGACTTCAAACTTGGATGGTATAATCAGGGCAAAAATACCTTTAAAATGAAGTATCACTCGACCCCCCTTCCCTATTCAAATTTTGGGGGTAACTATCACCCACGCCTAGGAGTTGAAGTTGCCACCCCTAATTAAGATTATTTAAATTAAAGTGGTGCAATTCATAATTCACTAAATTTTATTGGCAAAATTCAAAATTTATTTAAAAAATCTAAGAATTACAGATTTCATACCATTTTAAATGTTTGTTCTTCTTTTAACTAAAATTTAAAAAAATTAAAAATGGTATAAAATCTGTAAGTCTTGGATTTTAAAAATAAATTTTGAAATATGTCGATAAACTTTAGTGAATTATGAATTACACCACTTTAATTTGAATAATCTTAATTAGGGTGAGGCGAGCTGAAAAACTAACTTTTTTTCGAAAACTTCAATTTAAATTTTGCTTGCTTTCATATAAGTTTGGTGTGGGTCCCATGTCTACTAACTGATATATCGCTATACCCAAAATCCACAATCCGCCACTGGCATTAAGGGTGGGTCATATATAACCTTGTAATATTAATAATAATAATAATAAAATTGAAATCTAAATTACAGGACAAATAACAAATACATAATTACCTAATTATACAAACAAAAAATATTAAAAAAAACAAAGTCATGAAAACCTAACATATACAAAACTACTCGAGTATGCCCATTCGATGAAAAATTACAGCTTTACTATGCTCAATATAAACATTAGTAATAAATTTTTAAGAATCATTATTTAGATCACAATAACACATAGCTGAAGCAGGCGATGATAAATTGTGACAGTAAGTAAGGGTAATCAATTTTATTGTGAAATAAGTTGAACAAAACTTAAGGGAAAAAATATCTCGGCGTTGCTTTACTAAGGGTACATTAAACATTAGCAATAATGTTCTATTGTTAAAACCCCTTTCTGGATAAACTTCATTTACATTATGACATAAAAACTATAAAAATCTTCGTTAGGTCCTTTCAATCAGATTTATATGTATGTTATAGGTAGTTGGGATTCCATGTTTTTAAATGATTTATAATAATACCCAAACATGAATAATTTATGTATAAAATATGTTCAGAAAATGTTAATTTATGATCAAATGGAATGCCCAAATCTTTTACATTGGTACAACGCGATATACTATTGATATTTAAGGAATAATTAAACTCAATGGGACTAAAATTTCTAGAACTGGTTTAGGTATTATAGCATCCGCACCTTGTTAAGACCCTAAAAAATGCACTGTAAAAAAGGATTTCTTCAGCCAAGTTAAATTTCATTCAACTTCATTCAAGATACTAAATGATTCCTATCTCTTTGAAACAATATTTTCTTGCCTGCAGTAAAAATTGATCTTGTGTTACGTTATGTTTTCCTTGGAGAATATATTCTTTTTAAGAACATAAGCAGTCTTAAACGAAGGATAAAAACTCTTGATATTAAAATTGGCGCTTTTGGGTAAGGAATAAATATTCTTAAGTAAAAAATAAAATTACTTGAGGAAAAAGAGATAAAAATAATTTAGTTTTGGTGGAGTAGTAATTATTCTTCATTCAAAACATTATTTTTCGCATTAATCAGAGGAATTCTTCAATGAAACCGTTCTTTTCCCTTTAAAAATATTTTTTCCTTTTTGTGTCTTGCGTTAATAAAATGTATTATTAAAGATAATATTTATTTCATTTAAGGCAAGTATTTCTTCAAACAAGTATTTTAAATTTTCGTCAGCTTAAGCTACATTCGGGATTTTTAAGAAGCAGAAGTGGGGGTAAACAGTTTTCAACTTTTTTGACACAAAGATAAATTTGTAGGTAACAACCTTTTATTTACAAATAAATAAAAATAAAAATGAATATGGTAAATGTATAAAGTTAAAAAATGGTTTACACCTACTTCTGCTTTCTAAAAATCCCGACAGAAGCTTAAATATTTACTATACCAAAGCACACTTAAAAAATAATAATAATTTTTTAATTGCACAAAAAATATTTAAAATTAAAATTACCTACCGTAAGTTACACTCCGACTGGCTATAATCTATAGAGGATAATATATGGAGGTAACTATGCTATGTTAATTTATATATGTATTTCCTATCTGTTTATATTGACTGTAGAAATTCATTTATAATAAGAAGCATTTAATTAAAAAAATATCAAATGTATCTAAAAAAAATCGTATACAGTTAATATGATTAAACAGAAAAAGTTTGATAAACTATATATGTTTGGTAATCTGTTGGGAAATAAAAATGTTTCCTAATAAATAGAACAGGTATGAAATAAAAATAGATATAAAATAAAATAAATTTTATTACAAAAATTGGTTTCTATAAACTAAATAAATAGTATTATTACATTGCATAACGTTTATAATAAAATTTAAAAAAATATTAGCCTGCTTTAAATTGTTAACATAATAATAATTATTTAAACAATTTAAAGCATACCAACATTTATTTAGAATTTAATAGTGGTTTAAAACTAATAAGAACATAATACTTAAGACTAAGAACAAATTTAAAACTTACATTGGGTAGCCAATGGCTACCCAATGTAAGTTTTAAATTTGTTCTTAGTCTTAAGTAATGGCTAAGTATTAAGTAAGTCTTAAGTAATGGCTACTAGCCATATTACTAGAAATACCTAGACTTTTAGCAATTGAAAAAAATTGCTTCAGGTAGTTCGACAATTAACCTTTTTACCCGTACAAAACTTTTCTGGTTTAAAAGTTTCCAATAATATGGCCACTAAATACGATCTACGTAAAGTTCACTACAAATATTTTTTCTACCTACAAATTTGCGCTTCCAAAAGAAAGCGCAAAGTTGCACTTTCCGAGAAGCGAGCGTTTTTTATTTTGTCGCTCGCTTAGTTACCATAATAAAGAAACGTTTAGTGTATTTGCGACTTTTGACACAAAAGTCAAGTTTGAGGTTATCAATAATTATTAATTTTTACCAAACATTCTTATAGAAACACCGGTTGTAGAAAAAATCCTGTGTGTAATTCGAGCGCAAAGTGACATTGCCGCTCTCGAGAGATAGCCGCGCTCCGCTACGAGTCGCGCGTCAAATTTCTCGCTCAGAGCGACAATGTATCACTTTGCGGTCTTAATACACAAATAGCTATTGTATATTAGTAGAAAATAAAGAAAAACAACTTCAACAAACATTTTTGAACATTTGTCTCTTTTTTTAATCCTGAAGGCACAACAATGTTGACTATAACATATAGTATCTAAGACAGTTCACTCAAACCGTACCTGTTTTAAAATGCACTTGTCATTAAAAATAAAGCTTTCTGGAGTATTTCATTTAGTCAATAATGACCTAATATCTTCGGCACTGTAACCGTTCGAATAATCAATAATTTTTTTCTTAATACAAGAACAATAAATTTATAATAAAGGGTAATTTGTAGAAAATAAGAAACATTTTACTTGAATAAACGCAATGCGTTTCTTCAGTGAAGAAAAATTCTTGAACCAAGAGTTTTTTTCAAGAAATATATTTACTATTTAAAAGAAAGAACATTCTCGTCCTAAAACATTTGTCTTAAATCAAATTAAATTAACTCCATTCAAGTAAATATTTTTAAGAAAAATAAATTCTATATCAAAGAAATCCTTTTTATCAGTGTGGGTGTTAAAAATTGAGGTACCTTTTATTATTTATTTGTAAACCATATCAGGTAAAATATAGGGTTTGGTTGTTTTGTAATGATAGAAAGGTAATTTTTATAAACTTATATCTAAAATATTCTAAATGTACTAATTAATGAAAAAAACCATTTTAAAAATCAAATACTTTAATACTTTAATACTTTAAATATTAGGTACTTTATTTAATTGTATTACTAATAAATAATAATATAAAGTATGTTTGCCGGCGGCAAATAAATGTTTTGTCAAACCTATTAAATCTTAGATAAATATCTTTTTAGCTGCCAGTTCTCCTTCAGAATGTATAATATTTAGATGAAAATCTATTACAATAAATATAAATGCTTCGAGGAAAAATACTAAATGTGGTTTTTATTGAAAATGCTTGTGTATATAGAATACAAATTAATATATTAATAATTATTGTAAATCTTATCCCCACCTATAATACTTAACCTGCTATGAATGTGCTTTATTTATTTAGTATTATTCATGCCATTCTAAAGAAAACATAAACATGCGTTGGTTAACTTGTTTAACTTTTGCCGTTTTAGCCACAATAAGTAAGTCGATATTTTTCGTTATTAATTTAAGTTTTTTTATTAATATTAATTTGTGATAAATATGCTTTAATATTAAATTATTTACTATTAAAATAAACATTTTACATAATTTAATTTTAAAATTTTTTTGATTTAATATTTTTAATTTTACTCCAAGTTAACTTAATTTCAATTAATTCCTAAATAATTAAACTTTAATCTAAAATAGTATACTAAAATAAGCAAAATTCTACTTATTAAACAAACTAACTTTATTTTTCGATAAACTATTGATCGGTAAAATTCTGATACTGATTTTTTAAAATATTTTTGTTTAAGTTTCTTTACACTGTAGTTTAAATGAACAAAAGAAAGTGACAAGTTTATTAATAGCACACAATATTTTAGGTAAATTACATTGCTTTATACTTTTAGTTCGTTAATCGTAAAGCGTGTTTTTAGTTTTTTAAACTATTATTTAGTTTTTTACTTTTGTCATAAAATTTATTTAGTTGGTTTGTTAGTTACATTTGACAAGCCCTTTTATTTGATACCTATGTATGTCAAAGAGATTATAATAAATAGGATTTCCAAAATTTTGAATATTTTGAAAATATTGAAAATTTTGAAAATCATTAAAATTATGTTATTATCTTCTTAATTAAACCTTTATTAATTTATTATAATATCTTTTTTTGACTTAAGAAGTATAACTTTTAAGTTAAAAGTTCAAACGCGTGTACATAATTTAGGTATTTATTATTTTTTATTAAAATTAAAATTAAAAACTTCAATAGCATTGGGTTTAGTATGACACTTACCTTATCGTTTTCCACTCTTTATTACACCCATGTCAATGAAGTTGCGAAAAAATAGGAGTTTCGCATTTAGTGTGACGTCACTCACCTAATCATTTTCTCTTTAAACCCTTTTATTTCATACCCATATCAAAGTTAGTCCGCCATCTTGAAGCGGCGGGCACCAGAAAGAAGTGTGTTAAAAATTTTAGTTCAATCGGTTGGCTGGAAGTAGAAATCAACTTCCTAGATTTGTGGATCTAGTTTGTTGCAAATGAAACGTGTACATTGTACATTAGGGTGTCCAATATTTTCCAAGTTGATTTTTTTGCTTGGGTATCACGTAATTATTTGTTTATAGTCTAAAAACAATTTTGAAAAAACAAATTTTTCTTCCTAAATGACATTCTAATGACAATAAATAAAATTCATAACTCACTAATAAATAGACATGCAACAATATAAAAGACACATTTATATATAAGGTCTTTTATGCTTTTTCCGTAAAATTATTAATTCAAATGATATCGGAGGTAAAATAAATAAATCAAATTAAAAAGTATTGTCATTTTCTTTTTTTTTTGACTTTATAAGTGGCTTTTTGTACTTGGTAGTTTGAAAAAAACAATTTTTGTCAATCCAACCCTACTTTATAATTTATAAATATAAGTACTTTTAATCTTTAATTATTTTTATACCTCCGATATTTACGAAAAAACTTATTTCCTAAAAAATGTATTGTCTGGTTTATTGTGTCCATTAATGAAGTTTTAGACGACATCGGAAAAATATTTTTATTTCAAAATTGTAATAAAAAAACTTAAAAAAACTTATTGCCAAAAACCGGCTTATCACCAACTTGGTCATTATAATAATTATTATAGGTTATTTAAAATACAAAGCATTGACGTCGGAAATTAATTAAATAAAATTTACAGATTTTGCATCTTGCGCCAGTATCGCAGATGTATTGAAAATAACAGAAGATCCAGTTATAAATTTAGTAATTCCAGTAAATATTTTTGACATAAGTAATAATTAAAAAAAATATTTTTAAAAAATGGCTTAACATGATGTACAATAATACTTAGTATATTATGTATCAAGTTTTAGTCACGAATTTTAATTAGGCACGAGCGAGCTTGCGAGAGTGTTTAATTAAATAAGTGTCCAGAAAAGTTTATAAACCAATTGCATACTATACTTTTTCTACGACAAATACTGTCAAATTTGTATGTGTAAATCGAAATGTATTCCTTGAAAATAGACTAACAACCGTTTTTCACAGTGAAATTGAAGAAAATGTTTTATGGGCACTCCACGGTGGAGTCTCCACCCGGAATCAAGTTAAATCTAGTTTACTGCCGGCGAAATTAAAATGTCAGTAATGTTCATATAAACATTTAAAATACATATTGGGTTAAGAAACTATTTAACACTTTTGTATTTTAATATTGAAATTTTAAAATAATTTTTTCTACGACCACTATGTAGGTAAAAGTCAAATTTCGTCATGGCATCGTTGCTTAGAAAATGAATATTTTCATTGGCAAGGCAAAACTCGAATGTAAAGTGACATTTCTGTGTGAAAATTGACAGGAAAACAAATTGACAACATCGTAATTTTAACAGCTGTCAAACACGTTTTTAAGTAATTTTGTTTTGTATTTGAAAATAATAAAAAATAAAAGGGTGGTAGAAAAAATATTGTATTTCACTTGTAAAAAGCTTTCTTCAAGCTTTTCAACACTTGTAAAACAAATAACTATTTACATTTAGTACATGTAGATATTATTTTACGATGACACTTTATTTTAACAATTGTATGACATTTGACAACTGTCAATTATCTTAAAACTAACTTCAGCCCGTGACTAAAACGCCATAAAGCCACAACTTGTCAACGTGTATTTAAAATGTCACTTAGGGGACGTCCATTAATTACCTAAGATAAAAATAGGGGGAGGGGTCTAGCATAATCTCGCCAAATCTCATTTTAAGGGAGGGGGGTCATTGAAAAACTCACGTCAATTTTTGAGTTTAAAGAATATGTAATATAGGTAATTCAATTTTGGGGTTTATCATGTTGTCCGCAATAAAAGTTTCATGGCTAGAATCTCACGTGAGGGATCTCTCACCAAATCCAAATTATCAGAAAAATACCTCACGTAATTAATGGATGTTCTGTGACACTAATAGTGTCATGGAAACATCTACGATAATGGGCGTTTTAAAGGTGTGAGTAGAAAATAGTATCCCGTAGAGCACAAAGTCGTCCATATAACGTAACTTTGGCACACTATAGGATGTCCATGTTATGTAATAAATGTACATACAATGAACGTTGGCAGTGGACTTCCATATGATGTCAAAATGAGCCTAGGAACGAAAATTGTGAAAAATTTTGGTTTACTTGTTTATTCTGAGTTATGTAAACATTTGTTTATTCTAATCAAATTACAAAGATAGGATTTAGGATAAAAAAGGTTTAGACAGTGGCGGCTGGTGGAATTTGGGTTTATCAATATCTCAGTTATTAGTCATGAGGCCCATATAAAACATATATGAGTTTATAATGACATTGAATAGACAATTTCTGTGCAAGCATAATTTAAATTAAAGTTTGCAAAAAAAGTTAGTTTTTCAGCGCGCCTCACCAGCCCCCTACACCCAATTAAGATTATTCAAGTGGTGCAATTCATAATTCTGTGGGTCTTGGATTTTTAAAATAAATTTTTAATATTGTCGATAAACTTTAGTGAATTATGAATTCCACCACTTTATTTTGAATAATCTTAAATTGGGAGTAGGGGGCTGGTAAGGCGGGCAGAAAACTAACTTTTTTTCTAAAATTTAAATTTAAATTCTGCTTGCGCACAAATATTCTATTCAATGTAATTATAAACTCATATAAGTTTGATATGGGCCCCATAACTGATATATTGGTATTATAGTGAATTAATTAAGTTTTATTTTATATTTAACACTAAACAAATAATTCCAGTATAAAAATATTGGTGTTTAACATTTTGAAATAATTCAATGACATTGCCTTTAATAATATGTCACTGACTACCATGATACGATTTGAATCATGACTGACTTTTTTAATTCGTAACTTGGTATTTCTGAGGTGTTTCTATAAATAAAATTATAGTTACTATATATAGGAAATTAATTTAACCAAACTGGAACATCCTAAGGACATGGGAGAGCGTAAACTCCATGGACGTACATTCAAAGTCCATGGACTTATGTACTTAGTTTGGACCTTTAATGGACGTACAATGGACGTAGTGTGCTGTGTGGGATATTATTTATCAAGTTTGATAAACGCCATTTTAGTCACGAATTTAAATTAGAGTCTAGAAAAGTTTTTTAAACAAGTTGCATACTATACTTTTTCTACTACAAATACTTCTTATTATATAAAAATGATTTAAATTAAATATTTGTGTAGAGCGACATCTATACAAAAATAGAGTACCTAACCGTAATCTGTATTACCGCGGGCATGTCAAATTTTTCTGCGAAAATCGAAATTTTTCCCTTGAAAGTGGACAAACAACCATTTAAATCCGATTTAGGACAGTTTTTCACAGTCAAATTAATAATGTTTTATGGCCAGTATAAGACCGCGTTGCTGACAAAATCAAAAGGTCAGTAATATATAATCCATAACCAAAGAACCCTACCCCAATAACCCCATAATGCGAATCCCAATAACCACATTACTTAAGCAATTGAACTCAACCTATAGGTTGAGTTCAATTGCTTAAGTAATGTGGTTATTGGGATTCGCATTATGGGGTTATTGGGGTAGGGTTCTTTGGTTATGGATTTATGGGCTTCAATATAAAAGGTTACAAAATTATTGTGAATAAACAGCTTCGGTTATAAGGTTTTTGGTTTTAAAAAGGTTTATTAGTTTGGATTATTAGGTTATTTGAGGTGATCTTGAAAACCTGACGTGATGGGGTTAAACGGGCTCCGGATTCGGCTTTAAAGGCCCCAAAACATATGGTAAAGATGGTCTGATCCCCAGGCCAGAACATCGATTTTTTTTGTGGGGCTGTGTAATACAAATTTAAAAGGTTTTTCAAAAATTTAAGTTATTTTTTCTAAGCTTTAATTACACTGTAGGTAAATTTTCAACATTTGAAATATCACAGCTAAACGCTCGGATACGTAAACATAATTTTTTAATCGTAGATTCCAAATCCG